CAGGCCGCGGAAGATGACCACACTCACGCGACAGGACCTCAACTTTGGCCAAGGTAGGGAGGCCAGACCCGCAGACCCAGAGGGAGGGGTCTGGGCTTCGGGCTTCCCCGGAGCACCGGCGAGTGTGCCCTTTTACAGTGGTGGCCGACGTGCTCTGCGAGTTCCTGGAGGTGGCCGTGCACCTTATCCTCTACGTGCGCGAGGTCTACCCCGTGGGCATCTTCCAGAAACGCAAGAAGTACAACGTTCCGGTCCAGGTGAGCGCACACCGCAGGGTTGGGCCCCTGGTGGCCCCAGAATCTCAGAGTGGGTAAAAGAATTTTATCCCCCCACCACCAGGCCTCCTCTTTCTGGTAGCCCTGCAGTTACTGGTAGCCCTGCAGTTACTGGTAGCCCTGCTTACTGTAGAGCTTTCCCTCGCCTTCCCTTAGCCAGAATTTAGAGAACCTCAAATTAGAGTTGTCCTGGGGGCATAGTGGTATTCTAAAAGAGCTTCTGCAACCAGCATGGTGACATACAGCTACTCTGGAGGCTGAGGCAGGAGGATTGCACATCCAAGGCCAGTCTGGACAGCTTAGTGAGACCCTGTCTCAAAATAAAAAAGGGCTGGGGATGCAGCTTAGTGGTAGAGTGCTTGCCTAGTATGTGCAAGGCCCTGGGTTCCATCCCGAGTAGGGGGAGAGGGAACTAGCTAGCTCCTCAGCCAACCAGCCAGCCAGAGGGGAGCCTTAGTTTGAGGAGAGGATACCCAGAAGTTTCCAGCACTTTCTTCCCCATTCATTGGCTCTTTAATGGGTGTTTAAGGTTAAAAAGCAGATAAAGCAGTAAACATGCTGTGCTATATCCAATCCCTAAAGTACCTGTTCCATAGAAGGCACATTAGAATACATGACCACTAGATATTGGAAGTGGTACAAACTTAAAGGTTGTATAGGGAAAAGGAAAAGCCAAATAGCAACCAATGTGTCCTAGGTATACTCTTAAGACTTAAGAGATGAAATTATTGAAGCTCAGAAAAGTTAAGTAATTTTCCCAAAGCTACACAGCTCCTTAGTGCTTAATTTTCAAACTCTGATTAAATTTGTTGAGATTCTCTGAGAAAATGGCCATGGGCACAAATATAACTTGGTGCACAATTTTAGGGACTTTTCAGACTCTTTGAAAATCCCATTCCTAATGTTCCATTAAATGCTAGTGTTGAGACTGAATTATTCTTTGAACTTTTCTTTACCATGGATAAACTCATAATTTTTAGCCCCATGAAGGGAAGCCAGATCTCTTGGGCAGGGAGCCCTGGGGGGCTGCTGGGTTTCTGTTCAAAGGCAAGCGGTCGGGTGGCGTGTCAGTTTTCCCCCGTGCTTCTGGCCTCAGCAGCCGTGTGGGGTTGTATGCAGATGTCCTGCCACCCGGAGCTGAACCAGTACATCCAGGACACACTGCACTGTGTCAAGCCACTTCTGGAGAAGGTGAGGGGACACCAGGCCCTTCCACCCTGTCACCCCAGTCTGTTCCTCTTGAGTGGACTCTGTGGGCCCCCATGGCTCTAATACCCAGAATCCTGTTCCCTGCACTCCAGAGACCACTCCCTACCAATCGACAGGCCCCAGGGCATGTGGGCCACATTTGGGGAGCCTTCTGCGGGGGGCTGGAGCCTGGGCTAGCTGGGCTGGCCGAATGGGGGCTGCCCCAGAGGGTCTGAGTTCCTGCCATGTCTGCCCCCCACCATAAGTTCTGTCTGGCCGGGGCCCCAGGCTTTCCTTTCCTTCCTGTCCTGGTCTTAGGCTTCCTGGGCCTCCACGGCGACACCCTCTCTTCCCAGCTGCACCTCTCGTATCCTGGGGTGCCACTCTCTGGGCTTTCAGGGAGCCTTGGGCTAATGGTGGAGGTGGCCAGGGAGTACCCTTTGCTATCTTCCTTGGGCAGGGAGGGGCAGGGGGCAGGGTAGAGTGCCCGGCTCTGGAGCTCTGGTGCCTGTCCTTGCAGAACGACGTGGAGAAGGTGGTGGTGGTGATCTTGGACAAGGAGCACCGCCCGGTGGAGAAGTTCGTCTTTGAGATCACTCAGCCTCCGCTGCTGTCCATCAGGTGGGCTGCTGTCCCTGCCACCTGCTGGCTGGCTGTGACCTGGAGCAGTGATCCCTCTACCCCACTTAAGGCAGCCTCTGACCACCTGAGAGGAGAAATTGGCAAGATGTGCCATTTCTTGAGACATGTGTGGCTGCATCTTTGTGGACAGTACACAGTTGTCATGGACATCCTCCTGTGTTGCACTTAAAAATCCTAGCATTGATGACTGCCAGCCCTGACCTCACTCTGTGGAGACACCAAGGTCCAGAGAGGTGACACAGCTGCCCTGGAGTGCCCCAGTTTCCCAACTTAGCACCAGTCCATAGTGAACTAGAAGTTGGCCTTGGGCATACGCATGCTTCCTATGGGAGGTCGGCACTGGACCTGGCACCAACCTGTTCCCACTGGCCGCATGGCCCCAGACAAGCCCTTCCGCTTCTGGCCTGGTGTGCAGAGTCCTGGCTGTGTCCTGGCTCTCCTGCCTGACTCCACACTGGAACCGCCTGGGAGGTCCCCGTGCTCTTCCTCCACTGTGTCGGGGGTGGGGGGCTGGGCTGGTATCCTCAGGGGCACTGCAGGGGCTCTGGGCCTGGAGGAGGGGTGCCTGCGTGACCAGAGACCTCCTCTCACTCTCAGCTCTGACTCTCTGCTGTCCCACGTGGAGCAGCTGCTCCGAGCCTTCATCCTGAAGATCAGCGTGTGTGATGCTGTCCTGGACCACAACCCTCCAGGTCTGTGACCTCCCCCTAGTGTGTCCCTGGCTGTCTTGGGTTGCTCTGTATTCCCTGTTTGGCTATACCCACCCTGGTCTTGACCTTCGTGCCCACCTCCTGGGAAGCTTCCCTGATTGACTCCACCTGGCTTCAGCCTTCTATCGACTGTGCCCCCTCTTAGCCCTCAGCGCACACTCTGCACCATGGGGTTTCTGAGCCAGCTGGGGAGGTGGGACAGGGCTGGGCCCAGGGCAGGCTCCTGGTGGCTCAGTCTTGGTCAGACTCTCGCCTCTCCAGGCTGCACCTTCACAGTTCTGGTGCACACGAGAGAAGCTGCCACCCGCAATATGGAGAAGATCCAGGTCATTAAGGTGAGTTGAGACCAGTCTGGTGGGGACAGGATGGCCACTGGGGGGGCTCTGAAGCACGATGCCACAGCTGCAGGCATGAGTGTGTTGTGGCTGGTGTCCTCGGGTGCTGGCAGCAGTGCCTGGCACCTGGCAGGTTCCCATGAGTGTTAATTGTGTGGCCGTGTGCCTGGTCCTGCTCCATCTGGGCACCCAGAGCGGAGAGGAGCCCAGATGGAGCCACATGCCGAGACTGCCAGCTCATCTTGCCTCTTCTGAAGTGGGGATTCTCAAGGGAGGGGTCCTTAGCCACCCATTTCAGATTCAGTGCTTGAGGCTTGGAAATCACAGGAGGTTCCAGCCTTCCTGGTGGGGAAGCCCGTGAATCTACATTGCCAGCAGCTCTCCAGGGATTCTGAGGACCCCAGTTCTGGAGGGGAGGGTTTGCAAAGGGAGGGCTGGCCAGGGTCCCACTGTCCCACCCCTCTTTGTGGGTCACCTTCCTAGGACTTCCCCTGGATCCTGGCAGATGAGCAGGACGTCCACATGCATGACCCCCGGCTGATCCCCTTGAAGACCATGACATCAGACATCTTAAAGGTGAGCTGGCTGAGGAGGTCCAGCCCAGAGCCCAGGCTTGGAAGAGGACTAGGGAGGCTCCGCCCCTTCCCCCTCCCTCCACCTTGGGCAGAGACCACCTGCCACCTGTGAGCTCGCCAGGGCGTGGCAGTGGCCCTCACTGAGGCTGCCTGCTTCTTCTCATTAGATGCAGCTCTACGTGGAAGAACGAGCTCACAAAAGCAGCTGAAGTGCACCTGCCACCCTGATGAGGGGGTCCCCAGCCCAGGGTGGCGCTGCAGGGCCACCCAGACTCCAAGTGCTCTTACTGCCTCTGTGTCCAGATGCTACCTCCAGCCCAGGGCTGCTCAGGCTGGTGGCCTTCATGGACAAGGCCTCCCTGGGAGGGCAGTCGGGACACTGGGACCGTGGTGTCTTGGTCTCTTGGCTTCGGCTGGCCGACACTGTCTGTCCAAATACTGTGCTGTGCGTCACTTCAATAAAAGGGCCCCAAGGGCTGACTGGGCTGTCACTAACTAGAGCAGGGACAAGTGCAGCGAGCCAGCCTGGGCTGCTTCTCTGTCGGGGTGCCAGCACCCCACCCCACCTGTGAACTCAAGCCCAGGCTGGTTTTACTGGAAACATTTATTTTGACAAAACATCAGCACTGTGTGACCGTCTGCCCAAGGCTGGAACTGGGGCTGGAGCTCCGGGGCAGGGACCTCACTGCGCACTACAGGCTCAGCTCTTGCCTCCCTTTGTCCTGGACAGAAGATGGACGGATGGCTGCAGATGACCGCAGGCTGTCCTCTGGCCCATGGAGATGAAATGGGAAGGGCCACTAGGAAGCCTCCCCCTGGCCCTGCAGTGTCTCAGGCAGAGCCCCGGAGGGAGCCGGGCTCCTGCTGGTCTTGGGGCTGATGATGATGCTGCTGTTGGTGACACGAGGCCCATACCAGCCTGCCCAGAACTGGGTGTCCTTGCCCCCATGCTGGAACAGGATGTGGCGGACGCCTGGAGGGTAGTCGGAGAAGGTGTGGGAGACCTGGGAGAGGAGGTAGCCACGGTTACTGGGGCGGGGATGAAGAGGGGTGACCCTCCTCCAGCCAGGTCCCGCCCCTGTTTGTTGCCATCCTGGTGCTGGGAGAAGGGTGGGCAGCAGGTGAGGCCTCACCTCTGTCCACGTAGCGTCGTTCCACTGATGGATGGTCACGGGTGGAGGCTCGAAGGAGGCCAAGACGATGTAGTCGGCGGAGGCCAGCTGCACCCGGATGTGGTAGGAGCAGCCACAGTCGGCCCTGGCAGCGAACCTGGGTGGGGTTGGGGGGTTCGGCTTCCATCAAGAGCCACTGAAGGCTGCCCCAGGGGCAGGGGCAGGCCAAGCCCAGGACCTGAGCTTGCTCCCTCTGCCAGCTGCTCTGCCCAGGAGGCCCAGCTGGCCTTGGCACTCCCTGTGCCCTGGGGTGCAGTCTATCCATGGGGAGCCTTAGTTACCCCATTTGAGAAAACGGGCAACCTTGGAGCATTCTACTAAAGATCTGACCCCAAAACAAAAAGGTCCTCTACAGAGACCAAGGCCCCATCTGTCTAAGCTGTGTCACCTATGTCACAGTGGCCCAGAACATTCAAGTTGGGGACCTGTGTGGTGGGGGCTGGCAGAGCTCACCTCTCCTCAGTTCAGCCACCCTTCAAACATCACCCCTTCTCTCTCAGAGGTGGCCCTGGGACCTGCTGGACCTGGTGCATGGCCCAAGCCAGTGCCAGTGCCTCACAGTTCTGTGTGGGCAGGAGCCCGGGCAAGTGCCGTGGGATGGGCGGGTGCAGCCGGTGGCAGAGCAGGTGCAGAGCATGCCTGAGGCCGAGCCCTGTCCCCAAAGCCGTAAATTCAGAGAGCTGTGGGTGACCAGGGAGAAAGTGTGTGGAGGTGCCCACAGAATCCTGCTGCTCCCAGACCTTAGTGACTATTTTCATCCATAGGCCTCAGTCTCCCATCTGCAAACGGGCCAACGTGTCCTGCTGACTACATCAGGGAGGGGGACTGGGTGCTGGGTCCCTAGCCCCCAGGATGCTGGTGGGACGGCAGGGGCGCTCACAGTAGGCTCTCTGACCCAGAGACTATGGCAGGAGGGAGGGAGAGGGTGCGCAGCGGGGACACTGGCCGTGGGCCCCACTCACCAGTCCTTCACCACGATTTCAGGCCGGAATGTGTCCAGCAGCTCCTCCCAGTAGCCCTCAGCCTTGAGGTCCACCAGCTGGGACTTGAGGCACATGCTGAGGGGCAAAGGGCAAGGCTGTCACACCCAGATGTGCTATGCGGGACTCTGGGCCCAGTGAGGTGGCCCAGGAACCCAGGGGCTGCTCTCAACCGCTGCAGGACTCCAGCGTCCACTCCGGGGCAGACCCATGGGAAACAACATGTAGTTGATGTGACCGGCTTGGGCCTAGGCAGCATCTGATCCCAGTTGAAAGGCCCAGTCTCCTGGTGGCTGTGGAGGGCCTTCTGTGACTCCACTCCTAGATCAGGACCGCCCGCCCGCAGACACCCTGCCTTACCCTACTGCCCTGTGAACTCCTGGCGGCCTGAAACTCCTCTCCCCCTGCCTGGACATGCAGCTTACTGGCTCCAGGAAGCTGTGGGCTCTGAATGTGTCTGGGAACTGCCTCCCCCAAGCTTCCCGAGGCCCTCGGGTAGGCCTGAGGTTTGCAAAGGTGTCCTGTCCTCAGCCCTCAACCCAAGCCTGCTGGCTTCAGCCCGTCTTACCCGTAGGAGGTGACAAAGTACTTCTTGACTTGGGGGTCAGGAAAATCTGTGCCATGCTCTCCAGGGAGGCTCTCCACCTTCCAGTGGTCCCCCCCATTGGAGTCGATTCGCCAAGACCCCATATCCTCTAGGAGAAATGGAACTGGGGTGAGATCCCTGCGGAAAGCTGAAGCCCACCTTCCCCAGCTGGCCGGCTCTCAGGCCAGTGACACTGCAGCCAGGGTCAGTCCCCCACCAGCTGAAGAGCATCTCACCTGTGCCTCGGGGCCCCCAGTACATTCCCACCTGGGTCCCCGTGCTGGCCTCTGGCCTGGACTCATTCCCTCCCGCTCTGTTCTGATCTGGCTTGGCTCCTAAGGTGCAATTCAGTTCTTAAAATTAAATCTCAAAAGAGCCTGTGAGAGTGCTTGGTCCCCAGGACTGATGTGAGTTCCATCAATGCACACCACTCACTTGACCACTGGCCTCCCCTGACGTCCAGGTGGAAGAGGACGTCAATTAACTGCATAACCACAATCCGGGAGGACTGGCTGGAGGGTTTCAGGGAACCTGTTATTCCAATATGACTCTACCCGTGGCAAGAGTGGCCAGTGGGGACAGGCACCCTGGGCTGGTGGCTGCAGGAACCCTGTGTTCAAGGACCTCCATCGGGTGGGCTCAGCAGGTGCTGGGCACCTCCTCCTCACACTGAGCTCAGAGGAGCTGAGCAGGCGACAGTGCCCCAAGCAGAGAACCAAGAGAGTAATGCAGAACCACGGGGGCTATGCTGGTCTGAGCTTAGGCTCAGGGAAGATCCAGCCAAGCCTGGGGTGACTGCTGCCAGACGCAGGCCCAGCCCCACGCTCTGGGAGGCCCCATTGGCGAGTGGGCAGCTCGACGGGCAGCTTATGGACAGAATCTGGAGCAAGCAGGAAGAAGGCTGGGCACTGGCAGTGGGCCTCTGAGAGGGCCTGAGCCTTTTTTAGTCAGGACTGGACCTAAAGACTGCCAGTTCCAGATCTCAGGGCAAGTCATCTCAGGGCCCACAGCCCCCGCCTAGCAAATGGAGCTGCCCTCAAGGTCAATGAGGACGAAGAGAAAACCAGTGTAAAATGACCTAAGTGCCTGGATGAGGCCTCTTAATCGCCACTGTGTCCTGAAAGGAGCCTGGTGCTCTGGGCATGGTAGGTGCTAAGTGAAGGAAGGAGGAAACAGACACAAGAAACCCTCCTGGAAAACAAATGTACTACAGGCTACACGACGGTCCCAAACTATGACTGGAGTCACCTCTGGGTCCTCACTCTTTCCAGAGGAAGGTTACCACGTCTGGAATATCCTCAGACAAGTGCCGGGCGCAGAGAAGGCCCTGGAGAGCAAGGCAGCTTGTGCTGAGCTAAGGGGACAGGCAGATCTGCAGCGTGTTCATCCAGCAAACACCTCTGGGCACCTGCCACGCGACAGCATCTTTGTGGGCACTGTACAGTGGCTCATTAGGGCCTCTGGAACTTCAAGTTTGTACCAGAGGGGAGAAAACTGTAGCGTGAACAGTGCTGCTATGGGGCGGTAAACGGTAGGCAATAGGTGGGAGGCACTGTGTTTAGATGTGAGGTCAGGGCAGGTCTGTGAACTGAGACCTGAAGAATGGAGAGGAGCCAAAGGTGTTAGGGGACTGGAATAGCAAGTGCAAGGGCCCTGAGGTTCAGAAAAGCCAAGGAGCCAGCGCCGTGGTAGCCCCAGCCCACCTTCAGCACATGGGTTGCGTAGGAGGTTCCTGCGGAGGCTGCACAGAAAGTAGAAGATCTTCCAGTCGGCCACGGGCTGGTCCCAGTCCTCTGTGACAAAGCCCTCGCGCAGGCATTTGCGCTTCCAGAGGGTCACTACGTCGATGAGGTCTCGCCAGAGGCTGCAGACAGGCCGGCAGTGCAGCAGCAGCTGGCGGGCAGGCACGTGTGTGAACAGCTCCAGCAGGATGTTCTCGGGCAGCTCGTTGATGCTGACCAGGGCCATGGCGGTGGAGGGTAGTGTGCACACAAGGGCCTGCAGGGGACAGTGGTGATGAGCCCAGAGCAGCCAGGTGGACCCCGAGATCCAAAGGACTGGCTCTTCTCCACTCCTGTTTCCTCTTTTGTGAAAACAAGGCATTAGGGAGCATTCCCAGGGTCTTCCCACTGCACAGGGGTGGTCCCATTTACACACATTAGGAAGAGTAAATAAAAGTAATTAAGATTTTAGGCACAGAGCAGGGCACAGCAGCCCACCCGGATGGCCCCAGCTACTTGGCTTCAAAGGCTGAGGCAGGAGGACAACAACCCCAGGAGTTCAAGATCAGCCTGGGCCAGGTAGTGACTTGTAGCTCAAAAAAAAAAGATTATTTTCAAACCTCAACTAAAAAATAATTGTTCAATTCTGAAGCCAGGTGCCTGGGTGACCTGTCCTAAGATTTTGCTGGGGCCACCTGTTGTATGCAGGTTCTGCGAGGGTTTCGTGATGGTCCTGCACTACTGTGAATTCGGAATATAGAAATCCAGCTTCCAGCCGCTGACTAATGTTCCTGGGGGAGGGGCTGCTGCTGCAAACAGCTTCCCTTTCCCAAACCGCTCCCTTTGGCCTGGAATTCAGATGAGGAAACACACCCGGAGCGACCCTGCAGCGGTGGCTGGGCTGCCTTGGTGTGTCTGGCCAGGCCACTGGGAAATCTGTAGCCTGGGGGCTCCGGTGGGTGAGGGCAGGCTCTGCACTGTCACTCTGATGAGCCTGGTCTGCTGACATCTGGGGACAGAGTTCTCCGACCACGGATCAGAAGAGAAACTCGCTGGCCTCTTCTGATTTGGCACAGACGTGGCCAAAAGAGCTGCCTGGTCTTGTGAAACTCCCATCCCAGATTGCGGAGGGATGCGCACCCTGGCTCCTGGAGGAGCAGCATTTCAGTGGGCGGGGAACAAACTACAGCAGACAAGGTGCCGGTGCCTTGTGTGAAAAGCCCTGGCAGAAAATCTCCACCAGGCCGGCACGGTGGCCAGCTCTTCCCACCCCGGGCTTGAAACTGCGCAACGTCAACTTCAAAATGCCCCCAACTTCTAAAAGCACCAAACGAGCGCCAGGCGGGGGCGCCCTGGAGCGCGCGGCGCCGGGTCGGTCTCGGGCTTCGGTGGCGCTCTGCCCCGCCTCCGAGTCCCCCTCCAAGTCCCCGGCCACCCGCCCCGCGGGGCGGTTCCGAGGTCGCCGCGGCGTTTCCCGTGCGCACT